GCTCCTGCTGCTGTTGCTGCTACTACCACTACTACCACTACTACCACTACTACTACTACTACTACTACTACTACTACTACTACTACTACGACTACTACTACTACTACTACTACTACTACTACTACTACTACTGGAACGTTTCCCCTGCATGATGAAACATACCACTAGGGCGAGAATGGGACCCGTCTCCATGAACCCGCCCATCCGGCGACGGTGCCGTAGTTCAGACCAAAATCCCAAGTCCGTGCAGGTCCTGCCATGACTACTGCGAAGACCATCATTTGCTTTGCGCTGGGGCGCTGGGGTCTCAGAGCTTTTGAGCTTGGGTTGGGTTTGAAGCTGGCAGCTTGCGTCTGCGCTAGTGTCCCACAGGCTCGCACTCAACTCGAAGTAACAAACTGCAACACTTGGACCCCGCACAAGCATGTGAGGACTTCGGGTTGCAGCTGTCTTGTCTTGTTCTTCTGCGGTTATGTCTTTGAGGCTGCCGGCTGCTCAGGGTTTACGTCTTGGCCACGTGAGCATCAGCGTTCTGTTGAATATGATGTCGTGGGAATGTACGCATGTATGTGCGTACGTATGTACGTATNNACACACACACACATGTATACATACCCTTGTGCGTGCATATGTGTATATAATTGTATATACGTATATCGCATATGCGCACATGCAGCCGGACTATAAGGTTATGTGCAAATACACTTGCAGGCACAGACATGTCTATCGGTATATAACATTGGGAATGTTCTATATTTCCACAGGTACATACACATGCTTATGCACATACTTATACGCAGTCACGTCTAGGCATATATGGTATGTATGTATTTATAAGTTTTTGTGTATGTTTGTGTATATATATATATATAGATGTGCATGCACATGCACATGCATATGCATGTGTGTCTATGTGTGTATATATATATATATACACACACATGGTTTTGCACGTGCATTTATGACCTGCTTTCTCTCGCTCTCACTCTCCTTAACCTAAGGGCGTAAGTTCGCAGGGTACTCATCACTGCCTCGTGAAACAGCCAGACCAAATGTTGCAGAATCTGGCATTCTTGTTCACGAACAGGGTGACGACTTCCTTTCCCATCCCTGACAGTCTCTGTGAGCACTCTGTCTAGGCTGTTTCGACTTGTTGAAACTGCTAAAAAGAAGTTTCTGGGGAGTCAAATCACGTATCTACAAACGTCGAGCAGAGCTCAGGTGGGAGGACCTGGATGACGGCTGTGAAGCCCTCACATCCCTGTCATGCACGGCCGTGTATCAGGCAGGGAACCTGCATGATACAATCCTGGCGGCCTCTGAAATGACGCAGCCATCCAGAGCAATGATGTGGAAGAGCAGCAGCAGCAGCAGCACTGCACTGGCAGCACCAGTAACAGTAGTATCAGTATTGTAGCGTCGTCGTAGTGCTAGTAGCGGCATGCATGTTCGCATTGGCTCCAGTCCTGCAGCCAATATGCGGCGGCTACGCATGTCTTACTTCTCAGATATGCGAGTTTATGTTTGTGTTTCGTGCTGGTGCCGTGTGCTCTCCTGCGGGCCCTCTGGTCATCTTCATGATCTCAATGCACATGCTGTCAGCATTCTTTAGTCTCCGATTGCTTGCGTATACGACATGCACACATGTTATGTGGGCAGTGTAGGGGCTCTTACGAACTATGTGGATCAGGAAAAGCGAGATCTAGAATCTAGACCTAAGACAGTTACCGTATTACTATAGGTCTTCGATGCTCCCATGTCTTGACGCCAGGAACGGGCTTGGGGTTGCAGCAAGTTCTACACAAGCTCTTATTCGAGCCGCTACAGCACATACGGTTAACCGACAGGAAACGGAACAATGCCGATCATAGCAACCAGCACTGACTGTAGCGACGATGCTGCTAGCCTTTGATGCGATAGTGCTGTTCGTAATCGTGGCCTTCTCCGTTGTGGTAATCAGCGAAACGCGAGTCATGCCAGTATTGCTGCCACGACACTAACAAAGCTAGCAGTGACAATGGCCTATGTAGAGAGACAGAGACCCGGATGATGATGGCAATCGCCGTCCTCTGCATCACACGTGCGGCGAGAGTATCAGCCGAACAGTCGTAGTGGTGTGAAACCTAGCTGCTAGCCCTGTAACCGAAGTTTCGTGTCACAGCGGTACGTCCCGGATATGAACACACCAACTGCCTCTGCATCTTGTTGGCACAGAGCCCAGCACCTCTGCAATCCTCTGCATTCAGGAAGGTACTATTACCCTAAACGGCTTAAAACATCCAGAATCCACTACATCGAGGAATATGCTTTAGCTTTAACCTAATTATCTAAGGCCTTTTACCATGATCTTGAGGGATGATTCCTTGATATGAATTAACTGGGCTCTCTGAGCTTGTCCTCGGCAACCTTAGCGCAAATGGTGCCAGGGCACCCCGGACCTCATCTGCCAGTGCGCCCCAGTGCCGCCCCCGCCTTCGATCTGGATCCAGCTCCCCGACGACTTTGGGGTTTGGGGGTCTAGGTCCACGGGTTTAAGTTTTGCTGCGATGAGAGAGCGTTGGAGGTTGCACTCAATTTGGGTACCCTAGCTATGTCGCTTGATGAATAGAACGGAAGGGACCCCAAGCAGATCATAAGCCGAACTCCGAGTCCACAAGGTAAGCCAGATCCCACCCCAACACGCACCACATCGGGACCGCAGCTACCACTAGAACTGGAAGCAATCATATGGGAGTTTCCGAAAATCGCGGACCCTAATATAGTACCCCAAATAGTAGGACCCTTATTATAAGGACCCCAAAATAAGGTACCCTAATTTTTGGAAGCTCCCATATGGGCCCCCCTTGCCACCGATTGTTTGGCTCCGACTCAGGTACTCAGATGGACAATGCCTCATGGCCAAGGAGCGGACAGGGTGCCTAAGATAGCGGCCGGTTTAGGGTTTAGGGTTTAGGGTTTAGGGTTTAGGATCACTAATGGCATTCCTTATGGTTCCCGAACATATTTCAAACATAATATAGCCCCCCCCCCCCAATTTCTAGTCTACCTGTTCAGGCCTCGATATTAATGTTTGCTGCCAAGGACTTGGGGCTTATGTGGCCCAAATCCAAAGCAGAGAAAAAGAGCATATTTCGACGCAGGGGGCCTGCTTGTTGGAGTAAAGTCTTTCCCCCGAGGAGTACAACCGCTCTGGAGCTGCAGTGACACTTGGCCTGCTGGGGTGTCTCTCTCCCTCTATGTATATATACATATACACACATGTATATATATATATATGTCTCAATTACTAAATTACGTGCATATGTACATATAAGTATATTTTACGTTGCAGATCATCTTGTTCAACTAATTGTTGATGTATTTATGTTATTATTTTTCTGGTTTTCGGCGTTGCTGCGGTTCGGGTCTATCTTGTTCGGAGCATGATTCTTGGGCTTGGGGCTTGTCAGTGTAGACTTCCTGCTGCAAGTTCGTTGTAGCTGAAGGCTTGGGGATTTTTGATGCACGGGTTCGCAGTTCTACGATGTTCTGATTCCAGAGCGCTTTACTTCGGTTTCCGCGGGTCACGATGTCACTCACTGGGTTCTGTCTACCTTGGGTTTGCCCAGACGTCTTGTTGCTTAGAGTTAACCCTAAAAACCTTGAGGCAGAGGCTGTCACCCAGTGGGAGTTCGGTGGTGGCTCAGCCTAGGGGAGCCATTCCTACACCTCTGCATGAAGCTCGCGCCGGTGTTCGAAAGCCTTGAAGCCCCGCACAGTCATCCCCCACCTGCCAAGTTCCTTTTGCAAACTTCGCCCTATAATCCTTAAGCCTAAAAACCCTAAACCCTAAACCCTATAAACCTTACGCCTAAAAACCCTAAATCCGACTCTATACCAAAAGTAGCAGCAAGGAATCTTCACCGCTGCTTCCTGCCAGCTGTGCCTGCGGAGCGTCTCGGAGACCGAACCCAGGGGTCTCACGACAAGAGGTGTTTTAGGGGTTACCCATAGGCCCCATAGTAGTTCCTTTTTGGGATTACCTTATAGAATTCTATATATGAGCCCCAAAAAGGAACTACTTTAGGGCCTATATGGGTATAGCCATAGTCAGAATATAGGGTTTAAAGTAAAACATGCGATTCACACTGTAGGGTTTACAACGTAGGTGTGTCCAGTGTTTCTGGGTTTACTATACAGGGTTTCAGCCTAGTCATCCAACCAACTTTCCCCTTCAGGCTCCGAAAGCGGACAGGAGAAACCCCACACCCTAAACCCCAAACCCTAATCCCTAAACCCTAAACCGTAAACCGCAAACCCCAATCTGTCTTGTGGGGGCTGTGCTTGGACGACTCGAGGGTTTGGGCTGCTGATGGTTGGGGTTTGCCCCAGGCTGCGAGGTAGTGAGAACCGCAAGAAGCATGATAAGACTATAGTATATCATAATATAAGTATAGGATAGACTACAATATGATAAGTAAGAGAAGCAGCAGCAGCAGCAGCAGTAGAAGCAGCAGCAGCCGTAGGAGTAGCAGTTGTTATTGTTGTTGCTGGTGGTGGTGGGTGGTCAGCACGAGTCATTCCACCGATTTCGGAAATTACATGAACAATGAATAACATATAGGTAGAAGTAGAGAGACGAGAACACCGCTTCGACTGAGGCAGTGGCTGCACCACCCTTCGACAGGGCAGCTGACCAATGCGGAGGATACTGGCATAGAGTCTTCTGCGGCTGCGTTATCCGTGAAGCTACGCGCTTAAGTTCCGTGTGTG